TACGCCAACGAGCCGTCGACCCGCGGCAAGGTCGTCCTACACACGAGCCTCGGGCCGCTCGATGTCGAGCTGTGGAGCAAAGAGGCGCGGCGGCTCACGCCCTCCGCCACCTCGATTACCAGCGCCCGCCCTCAGCGCGCCCCTCCGACTCTCGCCAGTGCAAGCTCCGAGCGCGCCACAACTGCCGCCGCCCGACCGCACGCCACGCCGCCGAGCGCACCAAAGCGGCAGCAGAGCGGCTCGCTGTTATCGGCGGCTCGGGCCTCGGGCGCCGAGCCACGGGCCTCCCGCCGGCGTGCGCAGGCGCCGCTCGCGTGCCGCAACTTCGTGCAGCTCGGCATGGAGGGCTACTACGACGGCTGCATCTTCCACCGCGTGATTAAGGACTTCACACGCCGCTCACCCACGCGCACCGGGCCTTGCACTGCGAATGCCGTTGGGCTCCTGCCTTAGACGTCGCGAGGGTTGCCGCCCCCTGCCCCACCAAAGTCGGCGCGGAGAAGTGCACCTCACCTCATCGCACCGTAGGACTTCATGGCGCAGACCGGCGACCCGACAGGCACGAATCGCACTTCAGTCTTGTGTGGTGATGCCTCTCCCTGAGATCGCACCACACCGCCTCGTGTGCCATGCCCCCGTGTGTGTGTGTGTTCCGCGAGTGCGCGTGCTCTGTCGTCCGTGCCAGGGACGTGTGTGTCCCACTGACGGGCTGACTGGCGCAGACCGGCGACCCGCCAGGCACGGGCAAGGGCGGCGAGTGCGCGCTGTCAGCCGAGCACAAGAACGAGCGTGGCGAGTTCGAGGACGGGGCGACAAGCACGCCATCTCTTCACAGCCGCGAGGGAGAGGGAGCTGTGAACAGGCGAGTTCAAGGACGAGACGCACCAGCGCATTCGCTTCACACACCGCGGCCTGCTCGGGGCGCCGAGCAGCGGCCGAAAACGAAAAGGCGCCCCGCCACAACAGAGATCTGCGAACAGGCACGCCTCGGGTGGCGGGGGAGCGGGCGCCCACCCAAAAAAAGAGAAACCCGTGCGCACAAAGAAGGACGCCTGCGCACAGGCCTGCTCGGGATGGCGAGCAGCGGCCCGGACACCAACAAGTCCCAGTTCTTCGTAACGCTCGACCGGTGCGAGTGGCTCGACAACAAGCACACCATCTTTGGAAAGGTCACCGGCAACTCGATCTACAACCTGAACCGGTTCAACGAGGTCGAGGTCGGAGAGCACGACCGGCCAACCTACCCGCCCCGCATCCTGCGCATGGAGGTCCTCCTCGAGCCCTTCGACGACATCGTCCCGCGACCGAGCGCCGTGGCGCCGCCCCCCGAGCCGGCGGCCAAGAAGCGGAGGAAGGGTGACGCGCTTGCCGCTGCTCTCTCGTGGACTGCCGTTGGGCCGTCCGCTGTGAGCTCTTCCTCTGCTCCCTTCAGGCGTCAAGAACCTGTCGCTGCTCTCGTTCGGCGAGGAGGCGGCCAACGCCTCTTCACAGCTCCCTGTTCACAGCTCCCTGTTCACAGCTCCCGCTCGGCGAGCAGGCGGCCAACGCCGAGGCGCAGGAGGCGGCGCTGCCGAAGAAGGCGATCGCCGCCCACGACATGCTCTCCGACCCGACGCTGAGCAAGGAGCACGCCGTGGACCCGGAGGAGCTCGCCCAGAAGCTCCGCAAGAAGGCGAGCTTAGCCGAGATGAGCCGAGATGAGCCCAGATGAGCCCAGATGAGCCCAGATTAGCCCAGATTAGCCGAGATGAGCCCAGATAGCTCCGCAAGAGGGTGGCGGAGATCGCCTTCTGCACGCTGGGCTTTGTGAACGGCGCCTCTTCACGGCGACGGGTGTGAACAGGCGACGGCGACCTCCTTCTCCGCCGCCACCTCCGCCGCACTCAAGGCGAGCACCGCGGCCAAATCGCGCCAAATCGCGCCAAATCGCGCCAAATCGCGCCAATCTCTCGCCATTTCTCGGCGGATCTCGGCGGATCTCGGCGGATCTCGGCTGGTCTTGGCTGATCTCCGCAAATCTCGGCTGATCCCGGCGGATCTCGCCACATCTCGCCAGCTCTCCGCTGATCCCGGCAGATCGGTTTATCTCGCCATATGCTCGGCTGATCTCGCCATATCTCGGCTGATCTCGGCTGATCTCCGCCGAGGCGAGCACCGCGGGCACTTCGGCTGCGGAAGACGGCGCGCGCCGCCGCCACGCTTTGAGGCGGTGTGCGAGGGTGTGAACGGCGTCTCTTCACACCGCCCGCGGCCGCGGTCAGGCGCCGCCGCCGACAGCTTCGATTCGCGGATGCGGCAGCAGCTGCAGCGCAAGGCGGCGGCGGCGGCGGCGGCGGCCGGGAGCAGCGCGGCGGCGGCTGAGCCCTAGACTCGGAGCCTAGACTCTGAGCAGAGAGAGTGTCCGCCTGTCAGCTAGCGCTCGAGAGGACACGTGCTCCGCTGCTCCCATCCGAGGGGGGAGAGAGCACGCCCTATTCACACCTCCCTATTTACACGTCCTATTCACACGTAGGCCGCTGACCCGTCGCTGTCGGCGACGCGGGCCCAGGGCAGCCGCAGCGGCGGTGGCGGCGGCGGGGGCGGCGGAGGCGGGGGCGGCGGGGGCGGCGGGGGGGAGGGGGGGGAGGAGGCATCCGCATCAAGAGCCGGGAGTAGAATGGACTGCTGGTGGGTGAGGGTGGTGACGGCACACGCTGTGTTGAGCAGGACCCGCGTGAAGAGTACGAGAAGCTGCGGCGCGAGATTGCGTCGAAGGAGGCGGAGAGGTAGCCGAGAGATGGCCGAGAGATGGCCGAGAGGTGGCCGAGAGATGGCCGAGCTTGCGTCGGGGGGGGCGGTCGAGGCGACAAGTGGCGGCGGGTGAGTGATGGAGTGAGACAGACAGAGCGAATCACAGAGTCGTCACTTCAGGTCGTCGGCAAGAAGTGGCGTGGCAAGGGCGCCAAGGCGGACAGCGACGACGACGACGACAGCGACGGCGGCGGCGGCGGCGGCGGCGGCGGCGGCTTGAGCGAGCTGGAGCGCCGCAGCATGGGCGAGCCTCAAGACAAGACAGTGGGGGTGGTACGGAGGAAGGAAGTTGGCCTCTGTAGGAGCGGCGGCGCGCAAAGTACCTCGCGCGCAAGCGGACGAGCATGATGCTCAGCAAGAAGCAGCGGCAGAGAGCTCGTGCTGTCGGAGCAGGTCGGGGCGGGGCTCACTCGCTCATGTGCAGCGGGAGTGCATCCCTTTAGGCAGAGCGCAGTCCTGCAGAAGCTGTCTGGCTTCAAGTCGGCGAGCTCTAGCCGAGATGAGCCGAGATCAGACGAGATCAGCCGAGATCAGCCGAGATCAGCCGAGATCAGCTTCACGTCGGTGGGGCGCGCCGAGGTCAGCCGAGGTCAGCCGAGATCAGCCGAGGTCAGCCGAGGTCAGCCGAGATTAGGCGCTCAGCGACGCGTCGTCGGCGGTTGGTGCCCTCGTCGCCGAGGCGGGGCCGCTCGTGTTTGGCTCGGAGAAGCTGGAGGCAACCGCCACCCCCCCCCCTCTGTCTCCTCCCCTCTGCCCGCTTCCCCCGCGATCGCACCGCCCCTTCTGCCAACGCCGCCCCTGTCGCCGTTTCGCCGCCGCCGGCCGCCGCCGCCGCCGTTGCCGCCGCCGCCTCGCCGCCGTTGTGGCCGCCGACGTCGTTGCCGCTGCCGCTGCCGCCATCACCGCCTTCAGCTCACCCTCCCGTGGCTCTGCGCCAGGCCGAGTCGGCAAGCTACTACGAGGCCTTTGACCCGCTGAAGCACGGCGCGGACGCGCAGCGGGCAGAGGCCAAGATCAAGGAGCGGGAGCGGATCATGCAGTCGATGAAGGGCGGCTTCGCGGACGAGCACGACGGGCCGTACGCAGACTGAGAGCCACGCGTGCGCCGGCGCGTGTCGCGGAGCCGGCAGAGCAGGGCCCCGGCCTCGCGCGACGCCTGTGCGGCGCCCCCGCCCTCCCCCCCTGGCCTATGTCCGTCGCGTTGTGTGAAGGACTTGTCCTAGATAGAAAAGGGCCCACACACAAGTGCAAGTGCAAGTGTGACAAGGGTGGCAACTCCCCTCGCGGTCGCGCCCTCTCCGGCCACCTGGGAGGGTCACGAGCAGTCGCCGAGCAGTGTCGCTCCGACCGAGGTTCTGCGAAAGTGCGGTAAAATTCTTTTCCCTCGGCGGGCTCGGACGCGCGGGTTCGCATCTCGGGCTCGTTGTGGAGTATATGGGCCACGATGTCTCAAATATGAGGGGTTTTGACTCCTTCCAGCTCCTGACGCTATTCCTGGCAGCTCTAATGACCAGGGTCGGTAGTGCTGTGATAGAGGGTGCTCATACTAGCGCAAGAACGGCCACGCTCGCCCAGACCGTCCCCTTCTGGGGCCGGTTCCGCAGCCCCGCGGGGCCGTGCCGCGGGTGCCTATACTGCCGAGTGCCACAAACACTGCGCCGTCCCGCCATCACCTACAGGCTGTCTTGTGTGATGGTTGGGATGTCCAAACGCCACCATCTTGGCTCTTGCGACCTCAAACCCGGGAGCTGTATGGGTGGTCCTGACGTCAACAGACGCCCGAGGACCACGGTGAAGCTGAGCCGGAACGAGTCGACAAGTCTCGTCTGAGCCCGTGGCGGTCGCCGGCTGAGTCGCCGTGCACGGGCCGGTACCTCAGGCGTCACCTCCGCAGCCTCAGGTCTCACACTCCATCACCTCCGCCGGGACGCCTTCGGTGGCACGCTCGGCGGCGACTTTGTGGCAGCCCCACAGCGAGCGCGGCGTCGAGCCTACTCGGTCTGGTCGGTCGGCCGCACTCCCTGGGACCCAGGGAGTGCGGCCGACACGCGAGCGGTGCTTCCTGGCTGCGCGCGCCGGCTGTGGGGTGCCACATCGAGACACGCTTTTTGGGACATTTTCGACGCTTTTGGCCCATACTCGCAACATGCCCTCGCCCCGGCTCGACGCCAAGAGTGCAGACGATCGGAGCGAGGCGCATCGCTGGCGTGATGAGCAACGGCGCGCCGAGTGCGGACGCGAAGAGTTGCGATGGCAGGGCGAGTCGCGACGGCGGTCGCGATCACACGATGAGCCGCGGCGTGATGAGCTGCGACGGCGCGGCGAGCATTGGCAAGGCGAGCAATGGCCGCACCATGATGGGCGGCATGACGAGCGGCGCGGCTATAACGACTCTTGGTGCAGTGGTCGCGAGCAGCGAAGACACGCTGAGCCACAATTGCCCGCTGAGCGATGGCACGACGAGCCATTGCGCGGCGAGCAATGGCAGAACCATGACGGGCGGCAACACGAGCGGCGCGGTTACAACAGCTCTTGGTGCGGAGGTCGCGAGCAGCGATGGCACGCTCAGCCACAATGGCCCAATGAGCGATGGTACGACGAGCCATGGCGAGGCGAGCAACGGCCGCATCATGACGGGCGGCATGACGAGCGGCGCGGCTACGACGCTCGGGGCAGAGGCGAGCGCGAGCGCGACTGGCACGATCGGCGCGATGACCGGCGCGATGACCGGCGCGGCGAGGGGCAACCTCAGCACAGCGGTCGCCGGGAGCGACCGCCGATGCACGGAGCGCAAGGACGCGACGCACGAATGTGCAATGATCGCTCCTTCTCTGTCCGCTGCGCCGACAGTGATCAGGTCGACCCTCGGAAGCTGACCACTTTGATAAGCCAGGCTGGCAGCGCTGACGCATTGCTCACGCTCTCTGCTGCCCACAGTACGAGCTTGAACCACATCCACGCTGCGAACCTGTGGAACAAACTGGGCAAGCAGCGCGTCGAGCGGCGGCACGAGGAGCGGCTTGAGCAGCTGGTGCAGCGCACGCTGGACCTCGTTTCTTCGTGCCGAGCGCGCGAGCTGGCCAACGTCGCCCACGGCGTGGCAAAGTGCGGCCTGCAAGTGACGGTTGTGCGCCCGTTGTTTGTAGCGGTGGCGGAGGCGGCGGTGCGCCGCGGGCTGGATCGCTTCAACCCTCAGAACCTGGCCAACACGGTGTGGGCGTACGCGACGGCGGGCGTAGGATAGTTAAGAAATAAGTCAGGACTTTTCATCTGTGAAGAGCCAGAGTGTGAAGAGCCTAATTTAAGAAATAAGTCAGGACTTGTCATCTGTGAAGAGCCAGAGTATGAAGAGCTTAGCATCATTAATAAATAACTCAGGACACTTGCATCTGTGAAGATCCAAAGTGTGAAGACCCTTGAGAGCTTGTCATCTGTGAAGAGCAATAGTGTGCAGATCATAGGATAATGAACCAATAAGTGAGGGCGTGTCAACTGTGAAGTGTCTGGGAAGTGTCTAGGAAGTTTCTAGTAAGTGTCCAGTTACGCCTTGCGCAGGGAGAGCTAGCAGAAGAGTCTAGGAGGTGTCTAGGAAGTGTCTGGGAAGCGTCCAGGGAGTGTTGAGGGAGTGTCCAGGACGCCTTGCTCAGGGAGAGCCCGGAGAAGTGTCTAGGAAGTGTCTAGGAAGCTTCTAGGAAGTGTCTTATACCCCTCCCTGACCCTGTCCACCTCCCTCCGCCCTCTCCCGGTCCGCGCGTCGCGCTCGTTGAACGCTGCTACTGGCCCTGTGTCCTTTGTGCCTGCGTTTTCTCCCTCCCCCTCCTCCCTCCCGACCACCGCCATCTCCACTCGCCTTTACACCGCCCCCCTCATCGTTCTCCATCCCTTCCCTTGACTGCTCCCCACCACTAGGTGCCAAGACACACACGCGGACGGTTCCCTAAAGGCAGGGAGCCCGAACCCAGTCTCGGAGTTGTCGGCGTCGGCGTCGGTGCGAGCAGAGAGAGGTGCCGTGTCTCCTCGTCCGCTCCGTCGCAATCTCCTATCACGGGATGAGCCTCTCCCGCAACGACATGCTCTCAACCGAGCTCGGCGGCGCGCCGCGTGCGCGGCGTTCGTGCTACGTCAGCGAGCCGGCCTTCGGCTTCTTCATCGCGGGGAGCACAATCAAGCAAATGAACGGCGTGTATATTCGTCGAAGCCCGCCCCGCTCCGAGGAGGAGGAGAGCGCGCGGCAGGTGCTGCTCTACTACGAGCACATGGCCTCGCCGTGGACGTTGATCCTGGCAGAAACGCCCGAGACGGAGGAGCGCCGCGAGAACCCGTACCTCTGCCGCACGCAGGGCGAGCGGAGCGAGTGGGCCCTCGTCGACGAGCGTGGCGACGACCGCCTGACGCACCAGGGCGACACCATTGTGCCGGGCGCGGGCGTCGCATGGAAGCACGCCCACCGGTCTGCAATGGGCGAGTGGCCACGGCGCGGCGTGACCTCTTAATGAATCCATTCATTCATACGGATTGATGAACTGCTTAGGCGAGCGGCAGCCCCACGGTGGCGCGCCCCGGCGCGACTGGCGGCAGCTGGTCGGGATGGGCTTCGGCTCGCAGCAGCTGGCGACGGCGGAAGACGACGACGAGGACGAGCTGCCGTGGCAGGACTTCCGAGAGCCTTCCGAGACCCTTCCGAGACACCTCCGAGAGACTTCCGAGCCACACCCGAGACGCGGCTCTTCCCACGTACTCCTCACACGTACACCTGCGAACAGGTCATCGCGGTACTGGACCGCGACATACTCGCCCAGCTGGTCGGCGGGTACCGCTACCACCAAGAAAGGTGCGCCGAGGCGGTGGCGGGCCGCGGCGTCGTCGCGCCGCCCGCCCTCACCTCCCTCGAGCACTGCTACGCCGAGGGCGCGTGGGTGTATCGCGTCACCGCTGCGGCCGGCGCCGCGGTCTTCGAGGGCCCGAGATGGCCCGAGATGGCCCGAGATTGCCCGAGATTGCCCGAGACTAGGCGCCACGGTCTTCGAGGGCCCGAGCCGCGCCCACCCGACATGCGGCCACTACGCACAAGGGGAGCACGTGCGCGTCCTCCAGGTCATACCTCCCCATACCTCCCCATACCTCCCCATACCTCCCCATATCTCCCCATACCTCCCCATATCCAGGTTGCCAATGGATGGTTGCGGCTCGAGCCGGCGGCGCGCCGCTCGCGCTACTCCTCGGCCTACCGGCGCGGCGAGGAGTGGGTGGAGCTCGCCGGAGATAGCAATCTCGCCGGAGATAGCAATCTCGCCAGAGGTTGCGGCGAGGAGGGCGGCGGACGGGCGGGCGGCGACGGGGCTGGCGGCGGCGGGGCTGGTGGCGGCGGGAGGAGGGCGTGTCTCGAGCGAGTCGCACCAGCCGACCCGGCGAGTTGCCTGCTGGAAGGGGAGACGCGCGACGACGTTGCGGGCGAGGCGGGGGAGGCGCCGGCCGGCGGCGGCGCGGGCGGGCGAGGGCTGGCGGCGGAGCTGGGATATGGGGCCCAGATAGGTGGCGGGCGAGGGCTGGCGGCGGAGCTGCTTGACCGGCCGTTCGTGCCTCGCCTCGATGAGGGCGGCGGAGGAGGAGGCGGGGGCGGAGAAGGAGGCGGTGGAGGAGGAGGGGGAGGAGGAGGGGGAGACGATGCCATTGCGGATGTCCGGGACGCTGTTGCTGCTGTTGCTGCTGCTTCTGCTGCTTCTGCTGCTGCTGCTTCTGCTGCTGCACTGGAGGAGGGGGAGGAGGAGGAGGAGGGGGAGGAGGAGGAGGAGGCGGAGGAGGAGGGAGAGGAGGGGAAGGAGGAGGAGGGGGCTGCGATCGACGACGGGCCAGAGGCGCTGGTCCGCCGTGGCGGCTTGGGGGCGCGCGCGTCGGAGGCGTGGGCGTGCGTCTGCGGCGCGGGCAGCGTGGCAGAGATGCGTCGCGGCGTCGGAAGGCTTCAGGCATCTCCCTCGCATCTCCCTCCATCTCCCGTGATCTCCTTCCCCGTCGTGCATCTCCCTCGCATCTCCCTCGCATCTCCCCCGCATCTCCCTCGCATCTCCCTCGCATCTCCCTCGCATCTCCCTCGCATCTCCCTCGCATCTCCCTCGCGCCACTAGCGAGACGCGAGGTTGCAGGAGGCGCTGCTGTGCTATCTCCCCATATCTCCCCATGTCTCCCCCATATCTCCCCCTATCTCTCCCATATCTCCCTACGTCTCCCCATATCTCCCCATATCTCCCCTCTCCCCACATCGCCCCATATCTCCCCATGTCTCCCCATATCTCCCCATATCTCCCCATATCTCGCTGCTGCAGGAGGCGCTGCTCGACGAGCTCGACCGCACCGCGGAGCAGGACGGCTCACTCACTCACTCACTCACTCACACACACTCACACACACACACGCGCACACACACACACGCACACACACACACACACACACACACACACACACACACACACACACACACACACACACACACACACACACACACACACACACACACACACACACACACACACACACACACACACACGCCGCACGCACGCACGCACGCACGCACGCACACAGCGCACCCACGCGCACCCGGCCTTGCACGTTGAATGCCGCGGGGCTCCTGTCGTCTTGACGTGGAGTCGCGAGGGTCGCTCCCCCTTGCCCCCTCGTGTATGTGTGGAGAAACTCACCTTACCTTACCTTACCTTACCTTTCCTCAGGACGGCTCGCTCGGCGCGGCGCTGCTGCAGGAGAGCGCCGATGTGCTATCTCACCATATCTCCCCACATCTCCCCACATCTCCCCACATCTCGCTGCTGCAGGAGAGCGGCGTCGCCCTAGCGCTGCGCGTGCTGCTCGTCGTCGCCAGCCTCGACCACGGCGCCGAGATACCACCGAGATATGGCCAACGGGCTGTGACTGCTGTTTATACGACGACGCCCCGACGCCGCCGCCCGAGGCCGCCGC